CTGCCCCTAAACAAATATGCCTTTAAACCTACACATTTGAAAATACATAACAAATAAACCTTAAAAAGAGATGCTTTGGTCAATAATGGAATCCATAAAAATACAAAAAGAAAAATATAGAAACATGCAGAGCTGCTATGAATACATGTTATGTATACATAATATTTAATAACTCAAAAAGAAATGATGATGGAGTCAAACTAACAACCTAGGAAATACATGTTTTCCAGACTAATGTGCTAAATACACACTTTATGTGCAGTAACTTTTAAACACCAGGACATTTTCGTGACTAAAACGAGCAGCTGGGATGTTTTATAGAAGAACATTTGGTCTATATGTTTATTACACTGCCAGACAAAGAAAGTCACCACCTGGACTTCACTAAGGAAACAGGTGAGAGCCTTCCCCTGTACTGGAGGTTTGGCGACCCTGTGTGTTCACGAATGAGGTCAGTTGATCACCTGACTATTACTGAATTACTGTTTTTCCCATCAGTGGGATTTTTGCTGTGACTTATCAAAATGACGCTACAGCGAAGGAATGGAGCAATCATAGATGATGAAATGTTAGTTTGACTGTTTCGGCCGAACCATTTCCTTTATTTTCAACAGATCATCTAAAATGTACTCATGTAAATAATTATGGTTTTCAGTCATTTTTATGCCTAATAGACTTCTTTCTGTTAAGTGAGCTAATTTTATTGTCATGTTGGACGTTAAGTATCTGCCTCAGGCTTTAGCAGCGGTAAAATCTGCTAGCCATGGTTCAGACATACTGGGACTCAATCAGATGTAAATGCATCCAGATAAGAGAGAGGAGAAGAAAAGGTGGACGTAAACTCTGATAAAATATGACTTTTATCGAGCTGCAGAACTTATTTAACTAAGCTGGATTGTATTTTACTCATTACCGATCACAGAGTAGACTCTTTCAGGGTTGATGTCTTTAGGAGCGCGCTGGGACTCGTCATTCTGGCCGTCTGCTTCGGTTCTGATGTGAAGCAGGGATTTTTCTTGGGTCGTAGCTCCAGTTAAACCTCCTCCTCGTCCCGCCTTCTCCTGCACAAACCAGCACTCCAACACCGGACAGCTGCTGCTGCAGGCTTCAGACAAAAGTTTAACAGGAGATTAATGGGTAGTAAAACCTCTGTAAATATCAGACCACATTATATTATGCCATTACGTTTCCCCACATCATCCACTCAGAAAGTTATTGTTGTGCAAACTGTCTTTTCAAGCTCAACCAATAAACAAGGCAGTTATAGGAATTATTATTGAAACAGAAAGTTAAATCAAGCGTAATATGTTTCATGAGGTCCAGTTTAAAATGACAGCTAAAAGTAAAAGTCCAGTTCTGTCTGGCGACGCATAAATATTGTACTTAGCTGTTTCCACCCCTTCAGTGTTTTGCTTTTGGTTTACTCCCCTGCTTTTTTTATTTTTCATTTAGCAAACAGGCAGCAGCCCATCTACCTATCCCAGAAAATTAAGTCTCCAGCTGTTTCATGTGAATATCGCACAGTCTTAATCACTAAAGTGAAGACAGCACTGCTTCAATTTGTGATTTCAGGTGTTGGTGATTGTATTTCAAAATTGGACTATAGTCAGCAGGATTTACAAAGGGGTAACATGTAAAACAAAGAGT